ATAGGAATGCAGGGATCCCTGAATATGACACTGAAAAGTAAAATGTATTTGTGTTCACTACAGAAAAGAACAAGACAAGACATGTTAAATGAAATCAAAATACAATATCCCACATGGTTGAAACATTTTTTATTCAAAAGTTACCAGTGGAAAGAGACAGGAAATGTATGGAGAGAGTGAAGGCGATGACCTGTATCAAAGGTCCTCACCTCGAGTCAGACTGGGGATTTAGAGGTATGTGGGAGGCCTGGGATGGTTCCTATTTAACTCTAAACTGATACTCCACCCAAAATCTGAGTATCAAATACTTGCCCCCTTTAGTCTCAATAGCTTAACACTGCCTAATGATGTAATAGAAAGTATTTGTACCAATTCATTTTGAAGGCGCAAAGCGACCAATGTGGAAACTCCAACTCTACCAGTGGACCAATAGTATAACTTCAGCACTCACTCAGCAACAAACATTCATATTTATGGGGCTGGTCCCACTGTTGTGGTCTAGCCAAAAATTCAGGGGATGACCAAAGTCATCAGCTTTCATCCTCTTGGTGAATGGCTGCACAATATTTCATGGTAATCCATCTAATAGTTGTTGAGATATTTCGGTCTGGTCAAAAAGTGGTTGGCTGACAGACGGCCACCGTGGCTAAAAAGATTCAGACGTTGATGGAAGGTAATAAAATAAATTGCACTGTACAATACATATAAGTTTGCCACTTGATTAAACCTACTGAGAAATTTTGCCCTTTAATTATCTGCTCACCCTTTAAAACATCTTTATATCAAACTAATTATCAACTGAGTTTTCATCAAATCACATTAGTGAATGATGTTGAATCAATGACTGTTCAACTTAACTGTTTAGCTGATGATTTACAGCCTGAGTGACTGATTATTCTGTTTAGCAACTTAACTAACTAAACAACTATCTGACTAAATCAATAGTCCAGTCAGTCAGTGCACCTCTCTACCCAAACAACCGACTGACTGACCAACATACAGACTGACTGAATGAGCAGTTTAGACCTGTCCTGTGCACATAACCGACCCACTAACTGAGTGACTAAGAGGCTTCCTCAACTGGCTGACTAATTGACTGTCTGGCTGTCTTACTGACTGTGTAATCAGTGGATGGCTGTGTGTTTATAAAGCAGCCATAGCCACGGCCACTCTGTGAGTGTCTGATTGACAGTCCTGCCTGGCAACTGTCTCCTTCCCTCCAGAGAGAGGGAGAGAACTGAGTGCTGTTAGCACTGAGCAGAGAAGACAGTTATTGATTTTCTACTTGTCTATTATTTTTGTTTTTCACAGAGAAAAGGCAAGTGAGCGAGTCTAGTGTGTTTGTGTGTATGTGCGTGAGTGAGCATCTTATTATATGTGGTGCAGTTGTGTGTTTACATGTTGGGCTGCTGCCTGTATGTTGCCCATTAGCTTAAGACCATGGGTGTGAGCATCCCCCCCACAAGTGTACACTGTTGCTCTATCTGGTATCTACTCCTCATATTGCTCTCTAATTGGATGGAAACTGACAGGTGGAAGAAAACATGTGTTTGTGTGTCTGTATTTGTGTGTGCGAGTCAGTGTTTTTGTATGTTTCAAATCTAATCTCCACAGACACTTTTCCATCTCAGCAAGAGTCAGTGATAATGAAGAGCAGTTGCTGGTTCAACTTTGCACTTTTTGAACCAACAGAGTGTAAAAATGAGTTTCAACTAATGTCAATAGATTGAGAAAGCGAAAATAAGAGAGAACAGCAAATTACATTGTGGCTATTTTAGACCTCAAAATAAAATTACTGCTATATAATGACTGGATTTGATATCGCCTTGCCTAGATCTGACAAATAGTCTAAGATGATCAGAAATAGTACAAGATTATGACCTTCATCAGGGATTTATTGCAGAGCATATGGATTAAACTGCATTAGCTTTAACTTGGTGTACCTAATAAACTGGCAACTGAGTGTAAGTCTTAAATTCAGTATAGACCTAGAGCTAGAGTATTTGGCTGCCCTCCCTGCCCAAGGTGACGCGCATAAAAAGCTTTTCCTGTCTTTGAATTATCCAAGTGTGGATGGCGGCAGTCCAAATTTGGGCCTGGGGCACCAAATTGAACTGTGTGTACTGTGGGAGGTGCTAGGGGTCAGTTTGAAATTCAGGAACTACTTCATACACTATGCATGAGGCATAATGTCCCATCACACTGCTGTATATGAGTGTGGCAATACTAACACACACTGCCGCCACACACTCACACATGCAAGCATATACACATACAAACGTGCATAAACTCCCTGCACACACAAACAGAGCCACTTTCACACAAATAGCGCATTTTCATGCATGTACACAGACACACACTGTCCCCCTTTATATCTCAGGACGTGAGTGGAACAGCAAAGCGAAATCCTCTTGTCACATTTGCCGCTCATCTCCAATTCAGTGGCGCAGGCTGCGATGCCCTCGGATGCACTTGGCAAGTGAACAGCTAACCTGCCCGCCAGCATATCTGCCTGCCAGCCGAGCGCTGAGGTAGTTAGCATGCCAACTAGCCCACCCAGCAGCCACAAGCTAATGCTTCACTAACCCTAGGTTGCCCTGTGTCTCTTTCTGTGACTGTGTGTTTGTGTGTGTATTGACAAAGAGGTGTTTAGTTGTACCTTATAGTAGACTAGCTCTCTAAAACATCAGCACACAGAAACCATCCTTAATAATTTTATCTCATTTTAAAACCTTGCCAAGTCACTTCAGAAGTATTTTGATACACAAACATCAAATGTGCAAGGCTGCTCTACAGGAGCTATTTTTTTCTCTCCTTTTAATCTTATCCTAACGTAAGCTTTCATTTATTTGTTAACTTTCAAAGAAGAGTGAGCAAGTAGAAGGATTTTTTTTTTTTTTTGTGAATTTATTGTGTTTTAGAATGAAATTCTGTCACCCAAAGTTAGAACCCAGTAAGAAACCAGTTGTCTGTTAAGTCTTCAGAACAATCTGCTGTGGTCACATGCATGTTATTGTGTTTTTGTTTTTGAGCCAGTGACAAGTAATGGTCTTACATTAACAGTCATGTCCTACATATTAACTATGATGTCACACATTTTTTCAGCCCTGTAGTTTGACTTTTAACTTCTTTGTTAGCGCACAAGATTAGTGTCAGTATATTAATCATTTCTTCCAGCAATTGATATACAGCAAATAAGACAAGACAGGAGACCAAGCAGTGAAAGGCTAGCATCACAGCAATGCTACCTTCTCATGCACATAGCTGTACAGTGAGCCATGTTAAATAATTTGATGGTTGATGAGATTAACCATTCTTTATCTATTTGAATTTTATTTATTTTCGGTATATGGTAGCAAATTCCTGAAGGAAACTATCCAAAAATTGGTCTGAGCCTCATGCAGAGCCTTTCTTTGCTCTGACAGACACTTGATTTTTATCCAGTACAATATATGCAATGCAACAGATGCAGTAGAACAACCTATAAAATTGTCAGTTGTCAATATTACAAACATGTAGAAGTAAAAAGTTAAATCACATTGTTACAGTGCAGTGTTTGCATGACTAGAACAATAATGAAAGAGGGGTTCTGCAGATTGTAGATGATTGTCTGGCTGGATGAGGAGCTTCACTGGAACCAACTGCTCCAGTCAGTGCATTAAATACAAATACACACCCGACGCACACCACCTCAGCCCCCTCCAGTCCTCCCATATTTTGCATGGATTGATAAATTAAATAAGGTTCTTTCAACTCTTTACCTTCATCCTCCACAACTGCCACGCATGCAACAGTGCAGAGCACTGATAAGCATGTGTAAGGCAGTTACAAGCTCTTGGATTTTAAGTAATTGTAGTTTAAGTGCCTTGCTCAAAGGTTGTTTCTTGGTAGTTTATTTGAATTGTTATTTTGGTCTGTTGCAGTTGTTGCTGTTGCACAGCAATTTCACAAAAAAAATCACTGGTCAGTTTATGAGTGTGGCCAAAATATCTCAAGTGTTGGTCTATTCTACCAATAAACCACGTCAGACCTACACCGCAGTTACTGTGATTCATCGGATTAGAACTTTAACGTCTGTCTGTCTGTCTGTCTGTCTGTCTGTCTGTCTGTCTGTCTGTCTGTCTGTCTGTCTGTCTGTCGGCAGTTGTTGCCACATGCATTTAAACGGCAGTTGTATTAGCTACAGGCCAAACACTTCCAGGGGAGAGGGTTCAATGTGCCTCGGTGTGTATACATCATGTTTCTATGTCTTACACTACAGATAAATTAAAATGTTGTCCAGTTAGTTGATTAAGTGCAAGATGCTAGTCCCCATCAAAAACCTGGTCATTTCAAATTAAATTGGTTCCTGTTCTCAAAGGAAGTTCCTGACAAATGAGTCCTGTATCCAAGTGAGTGAGGATCATCTCCCAAAATCAGAGAAAGAGCCTCAAAGAAACTCAAACTCAAACCTGTGGCTTCAGGTTATTGGGGTTGGTAGAACTGGAGTTATCTGCTTTCAACCTTGGTTTCCTTTGAGCATATTTTTACTAAAAATAAAGCAGTCTCTCTCTGGGCATGTTGTAAGTTACATAATTGCAATTTAAGTCAGTAATATTAAACAGATATTAATTTTAATTATCTACTCCAGACTTCTAATTCTACTAGGAGAACGATTTAGCTGGACAGCTACCTACCTGTACAGTCAAGACAAGACACAAGACAGCATTGACTATACTTTGCTGTCAATAGTCTAGGTTAAGTTTCAGGAAAATAGGTTAAGTTCTTAGCTTTCTCGAAGTGATGTTGAGATATTTAGAGGTGGCACTTTCTCTGCGTTTTTGGTCATGTGCAATGTGACTCCTTGGCTGCTGTGTTTTTGCATGAGAGACTGGATTTCACATGATACAGGCTGACTTTTGTGAGTTTCCCCTTGGGTTCTAGTAATGTAAATTTATAATTTGACAATTTCTCTTCTTTTCTACCCTTCCCCCTCCTTGTGTCTCTCCTTCCTTTTTCAGAGCTCACTGACGAATCATGGCTGAGAAACCCAAAGGAAGCAGGAGCTGAAGAAGCAGAAGGCACATCAGATCCATCCATTTCTCGCCTCCTGTCCTTCTCCTATCCATCCGTCCATCCATTTATTTAGCCACCATCACTAAATAACCACCTCCTCTTTCGCACTCACCACCCTTCTTGGTTTTTGAGTGTATTATCTTGACTTGTCACTCCAGAGTGTATGATGTGTTGATTTATTGTCAAGTTGCGCCGGCACACCCCTGCTGCTGCTGAAATAAATCCCAGTGATCTGGTGGTGATGAGACTGCAGGTTTTGTCTTTGTGTCTTGTGTGTGTGTGTGTGTGTGTGTGTGTGTGTGTGTGTGTGTGTGTGTGTGTGTGTGTGTGTGTGTGTGTGTGTGTGTG